GACTGGTTCCTTCTGTAAGCCTGGGGGAGAATTAGTTTCCTGGATTTTTTTAGGTTTTTAGAGACCACCTGAATTCCTTGGCTCATGGGCCCTTCCTCCATGGTCAAAATCCACAGTGCAATATCTTTAGTCTCTTTCCCTCTCTCATTTTTGTTTGGGAGTTTCTTCTTATTTATAGGGAGTTTTGTCATAACAGTGGACTTGCTCAGGTTACCAGTTAATCTATCTCAAGATCCTGAACTTAATCACATGTGCAAAGAGGCTTTGACCATATAAAATAACACATCTTCAGGTTTCAGAGATGAGGATGTGGACATTTTGAAGGGAGCCATTCGGAATTAGCCTACCATACTAAAGTATAACAATCAGTTGGAGATCACTCTCTCACTGTGTGTGGACTGGCTATAGCCTGGAGCCCTCTGGGGTTCTGAGTTTTGATGACTGGATGGGATTGAAAAGTGCACATCGTAGCCTATCCTCTGCTCTTAAATGATGAAAGAATGCCAGCTACCATAGTAAGAACAGAATTGTCCTTGGCCTATGTTTTATAAAAGTGGCATTTAATCTAGCCTGTTTTACCTTACAAAAATATGCTTCTATGAGGTTGTGTATTTCTCCAAACGAAGAGTCATTCTCTACATGTGGGAATAGTGATTAAAACTTCGACAATATTCTATATATCTTGTTAGTGATACCTTGGTTCATGAATGCTTCTGTCTGTGAAAAATTTGGTTTGGCAAAAGTTTGCTTCCATCTGCTTACTCTGCATCCAGTGAGAAATGCAGCCTTGGCTATCTTCTCCAGAACTGTGAATCAATTAAGTTCACGAACCAAGGTACTACTGTGTGTTTTATCTTTTCATACCTTAAAATGTTTTTGTTCCATATATCATTATGTACTTTATATTCTATGAGATATGTTGATATGTATGTGTTTTCTGCTATATGTTGGTGTATATAATGAATAAAATGTACGTAAACACACACACATATTTTTCAAAAATTTATGTCTTCATACTTTAACCCATGCATCTGACTTTAACTAGTAATATTGATGTTCTCATTTTTGATCTACTAAAACTATTTCACTTGTTTCATCAGCAGTTACTGACATACTTTTTAAAATAAATTCCTTAAACATTTCCTTTGCATTATGTTCACTAGAAAATTAAAGCATAATCAATATTTCAAAGGCAATTTAAAATATAATCATATGATACAGGAATAACACAAGTAGAGTATAGTATATAAGCAAATTCATGAATTGAAATGCTTGTTAGGTAGAATAATCTAAAGGATAAAATTTGATCTAATGTAAATGTTAACATTTGGCTTCTATTTCAATATAGAACAAGTGTTAAAAAATTGCCAGTAGCATATTTTCAAATATTTTTCTTTAAACAAAATCCCTAAAGTATGAACTCTGTAAACTATTTGAGAGATATTTTATGGATTATCCAGTATCATAGCTTGTTCATTAAACTTTATAGACTTTCCTCTTAAGTATTCAAAGTGCGACATAGCAGGACAATGATAAATGAAGTAATAAACTGTAGTTAAATCTTGATATTTTAATTGCCTCAAAATGACAGCACAGACGACGACTTTCTGGGACTGGCCATCCATTTTTCTTTATGTCCTTCTTGAAGTGGGGCACAACCTTTTACTCACTCTGATGTAAAAAGGGAGAGATTTTAGAGGTGCCTTATAAAAGAAGATTTGAAGTCTTCATTTAATTCATGGAAGCTCCTGTCATTTACTCACAATGTGAGCATTTCTTTGAGCTATATTTTAGGCCTATGTTTCCTGATTAATTAGGTGGATTTTCAGTTTAAATGTCAGTACACCCTCTGATGAAGAACAGTAACTTGATTAATAATATACAAGACTCCAAAAGGGTGTGAGTTATACAATAACAAGACTTTTGAAAAATACCTCAACTTTAAGATTTTGTAATATTAAAAATCAAAACTCTATCTGTGGTCTACTTTTCCCATAGTCCACTGGAAAAGAAAACCTTAGATAAGTTGGCAAATGACCTCTGATACCAAGAGGGGATCCACATGGGGTCTTATCTCCCCATACACAGTTCATATGTAATAGAAAACACTTCAACTTTGTTAAGAGAGAAGAGAGACAAAAACCACCAAAACCTAAAAATAATGATTTCTCTGCTCAAGAATTATGTTTCCGGCTTGTTAGGTTGAAAATAAATCACCGTTTATTAGATCTGTGAAGGAAAACCACATATCATTATTAAAGTACTTGAAATGTTCCCAGATAGTCAGATTGGGTGACTTGATCTGTTGCAAGACTATGGTTATGAGTCTGTATGTTAATCTGTGGATAGTTTAATTTAGTATATAGAGTCTGCCAAAAATGTATGCATACCTCAGGAAAAGAAAAATAGTTCGGTGTTTTTACAACAGATGGTCGTACCCTCCCTCATATAGGGGACCTTTGAGGATGTCGTATATTTCAGAGACCCCACTACACTGCTGGGCCTTAGAGAAGAAATTGAAAATGCTTGTGCAGTGATCTCAATGACCAAGGTTCTCCAAGCAGTAATTTTCCATACTAATAAATGTCTAGCAGCTTACAGCCACTACTTTGAGCCCCTCTTGTATGGTAGAGGCCCAAGGTAACTTGTTTTAATCTCATGATGTTGCAATACACTTAGTCTTAAAATACTTATACTAGGTTTTCTTTTTCTGAAATGTGTATACTCCTTTGGTGGGCTCTGCACATTTTTAGGTGCCAGTCTGACTGGGAGTGAACATTGGAGATTGGTGTTTAATTAAGAGCAGCATGAGAAACAATAGACCTCAAAGTCCTTGTGGGATCCAATTTGTATAAATGTGTCTATGTACTTAGAGAACTTATATAGAATGGCGCTTGATACTCCTGTGAAGTCTTCTATGTATTATGGTTGTAGAGACTTCAGAGAAAAGTGGTGAATTTAGTATTAATCAGACTTATTAAGACAAAATAGCATGAACTTATTTCTTGAAGGTACTAGATAATCTTACTCACAAAAAAGAAGTCTGGAGAACATCATTCTTAAGGAGCTAACAACCAAGCAAGATCCAGATAATGTAGACAGAAAGAAGTATTTAATAATGATTTTTATGAAGGTGTTACAGGTGAATAATTACATTGTCTCCTTGAGAATTTATGTTGCTCTCTAAATTCCAGAACTCCTGGAGACATTAAGTGTTTTAACTTGGTTTATTCATCTACTCCTGAAGGAGGAAGAGCAATACCCATGATTCCACCAGAACAGTTTAATACTGTTGTGTGTAGCTGGGCATGGTGCACACCTGTAATTCTAACAGACTGAAAGGTTGAATCAGAAGCATTCTAAGTTGGAGTCCAGCCTGGGCAATAGCAACTTACCTCTATATCACAAAAAAATGTTGGGGATGTAGCTCAGTAAAGAATCCTAGGATTCAGTTCTCAGTGTTGTTAAAAAGAGAACAAATAACTAAGTACAAAATGAAACAAAAATCCTGTGTTGATGGAGGATGTGGGATGAAAGGAAATCATGTCCTTGTGTTCAAAGTGGGAAGTGGCCACCGTGTATAATGTTGCTCAGTCCTACAAATTATGTACCTCCATAAGTGGACATTGGCTAAAATTTTCAAACAAATTAAAAATGCAGAGAATATAGATTACCCAGAACAAGATGCAGTATTCACTTATTTTCTAGTGTAGCTTAGTGCTTTGTGAGTAGAACATTAACCTATACTGAATGGTAACTTGAGTGAACTGGTAACCTAGAGTGGAGAACTCTTGAGCCTGGAGATATTACTAGAGATAATAAAGCAAAGCAATTTTGAAATTTCTCAGAACAGAGGAGAATTTCTGTGCTGCCCAGAAGGAAGGAGCATATTTCACAGCTTCTGGGCAGGATGTCCCACTTTTGAATATCTTATGATGCAAAGAATCTGCTCTGATTCATCTTAGTGTGTTATGTTGCCAGTACTCATGTTGGAAGCCCTGTGGCTGCTTTCTGTGCATGTGTTCTTTAGTGGCAAGAGTAGAGGTTATCCCAGAGGCCTCCCGAAAGGCAAAGAAGTTCCAGTTACTGAGACTCTGAAGTGTAACTTTAGCTTGGTCAAATTCCCAATGGAGAATACAGCATAAGGAAAAGGGTTATGGGTGTATAACAGTGATTATCTTTGGTTTCAAAACATTTACTTACAAAATGATCTTCAGGAGCATATAATCACTGTGAAATTATATAGTGTAACTTTCCAATCAAGCTGTATATGATCATCAAAGCAAGGAAAGGAGTGAAGTCAGTTCAGCTTAGATTTGTGAGCCATGCTGTTGGGAAAAGACTGGATTCTTGTAGTAGGTTATCTTCTGCTGACTCCAAGTTGAGAGTTAAATCATGAAATTTCCATGTGTCCCAGTTTCTTCCACTACAAACTCAATGCAATAATATGAATATCTGGCTCAGAAGACCTTTTCAGGGAAAGAATACAAGCTCTTTCCTTTGTAATTTTTAAAAGAACAGGTTGGTAGTAAAAGGCATAATAATATTTAGGAATTGTTCCTGGCCTGCAAACTATGTTAAATAGTTTACTTTGCTACTTCAATGAGATTTTTATATTATACTTTATAATTGGAACTTACTGTCTATTGTCTCTGGTACTTGACATAAAATGTACCTTGTTATAATATGTAACATAAATGTAATAACAGCAACAGCAATTCTATAAGAATTTTACTATTCTGTGTCAGACACTGGGATGAACATTTTACATGCATTATCTTGTTTATTTCTAAAAGTAATCATGAATCAGTATGTTGAGGATATATTATAAGCTTCAGTTGTAGCAATGGGAAAAACGGAGCTTAGAGGGTTTGTAAAAATTGGTCATCAAGTTTATAGGTATCTGATGCAGAATTCAAATCAAACTCAGTTCTATCCCAATTCTCTATGGCCAAGAATGCTGTATTCCAAGACTCATATGCTGAAATTCTAACCCCCAGGGCCTCAGAATGTAAAGTGAGGTCATCATGGTGATTCTGAATCCAGTGTGATTGGTGTTCCTACAAGAAAAGGCCAGGACACAGATACACGCAGAGGGCAGATCACATGAAGACAGGAGAAAGGCCGCCATCTTCATACCCAGGTAAATTTCAGAAGAAACCAACCCTACTGGCATAGTGACCTTGAAATTTCAGCCTCTGAAATTGCAAGAAAATTAATTTCCATTGCTTAAACCAACCAGTCTGTAGTATTTGTTATGGTAACCCTAGAGGACTAATACCACCACCATTTTATCTTTTTAATCACATTCAAGAGGAAAGATATCCTCTCTGGAAATACTAATGATCTGGGAAAGTTACTAAGTGAAACATGAAGAATTCTGTTCTTTTCCCTCTCTCCCCAGTATCCTCTGTCTAGGGAACCTTCTCATATTTCCTGTGGTAGATTACCTATTGTTCATCATATATTCACTCCCCGGATCTCCACGGGCAGACACAGTTCCCCGCTCCACTGTTGTTTAGTTGTTCACGTGACCTATTTTGGTGCATGAGGTGTGAGCCTGCGGAAGGGAAACAGGAATGTAACTGAATGCTAGCTTTGCTTTCCTTGCCCTTGAAACACATGTGGAGATAAATCGAGCACATCCTGCTGTTTGAATTAGTTTAGCCTGGCTCAGCCAACATGCAGCTGACTCTCAGACCTGTGAAATCAATCTTTGCTGTTTAAAATTGCTGATATTTGAGACGAGTTTTT